TATATATATATATATATATGTATATATTATATATATATATGTATGTATATATTATATATACATATATATATATGTATATTATATATATATATATGTATGTATATATTATATAAAATTTAGATATAAATATACATATTTATGGGATAATGTGTATTTCATTATCCCATTCATTATAAATCACAATATATAATTTTTCTATAACAATTTATCTATAATTATGTAATGTATGTTTATATTTTCTAAAATTTTATATAAATAATATATAATCTTTTAACTTTAACTTAGTTTAATACTTACGTTTTCTTTTTTATTAAATTTTTAAAATCCTGTTCTTTTTTTATAAGAAGAATATTAAGAAATTGAAATTTAATCTAAAATTTATTTTTCTTAATTTTCGTAATTATTAATTATATTAATTTAATGATTATATCATACATTCCAATAAATCTTTGTCGCACATTCACAGCGTTTATAATTTTACAATACAGTACAGAACATTCATAGTTTTGTCTACATACATATATATATTTATTTTTAAGAAAGATTTTTCAACATGAATTAGAGGTAGTTATTAAAAATATTCGAATAATTATATATAATTAATCAATCGTAGAATTTCTATATATATTTCTGTTAAATCAATTTTTTAATATTCATAACAGTATAATAATATAAAGTGCATAATATTTCTGGCTTTACATAAAATATATTAACACTGATTTATTGTAGAATTATAAATATATTTAATATATTAAAATCTAATTTATATACATTTGACAGGTACATTGAAGCATGCGCTTCTGATATTTTATTACAAGAAACAAAGTGCGAGGAATAATTCTTATTGTTTTGCTTTTAATTGTTTAATAATTTAATACTTTTTATTCTTGCATATAGAATTATAATAAATTAATGAAATAATAAAAGAAGATATATATGTTAAAATTTATCATATTATAAATATAAAATATGTATGAATCTATTTTGATAATAACAAATACAGTACGAAAAATGATACGTTTCCACGTCATATAGTATTATTAAATAAAGCGTAATATTTTGTAACAATAAAATCAATAATGAATATTAAGTAATAATTAAATAAAATCTGAAATAAATTTATAAATAATTGATGTCTTGTTTGATAAATATATAAAATATATTGTTATAATTCTCTTTATTTAATGACTATCAAAAAAATAACAATAACAAATATTAATAACAATGATAAAATAATATATTAAATTTATAAGTTTGAATAATTATATTTTAAAAATGAAACAACTTTACGTTATGTATTTCTAATCTAATCAAATTTCTTATACATATTATTTAATATAAAAATGTTTTTTTATTTCTTTAGGAAATTATTATCACATCGACTAGCAATTAAATTATAATCTAGATATAATATTCTTTAAAAAATAGTAGAAATCATTTTAACAAACATCCATATAATATATTTTTATAAGATAATATTGCACTTCCGGCCTTTTTTCTATTATATTAAATTACAATGGCAATTTATAATTATTGTCAATCACACGTTTTTTATTCGTTTGTATTCTAGGACAAGTATATAAATATTTTTTTTTTATCAAGAATAATATCAAGAATATAAAAGTAAATAAACATTCCTTTTCATAAATATTTTTTCTTTTTATAATTTGTTTTTAATATATTGTATAAATATAGTATAATAAACTATAGTATAGTAAATGCACATTACTTTCAGATTTACTCATTGTCAGACTTAATATTAGTAATTAAATTATATATTTACCCGTTTGACGAACTTTTAAACGCATTTCTGTTTCATATTTAATTTAATTAAATAAATTAAAATTTACGTATAATTAATTTTATATCGAGAAAATGAATAAACAAAATTAATATAAAGTAAAAGAATTAAAATAGAATTAATATAAATAAAAAGAAAGAGATGAAAAAATAAAATGATAAGTTTATAAATTAAAGAAAACTCTATTTAAGATTTTACTTAAGACTATGAAAGATAAGATGCAATTGTGAAAAAGTAAAATAGATATGAATTTACTGGCCTTAAATAATAATTAAACAAATTGTATTATTAAACAATAATAAATAAGTATGTATACAAAAAGATTCGTAGATTGCCATGAAAATTTTTATAGGATAATCTTAGATGGCAACTTAATTTTGATTTTTACTCATTTCAAATATATTTATAATACTGTATTTTTACGTTTTATTTTATTAGCCTTTGAAAAAGAAAAAAAAAAAAAGAAAAATAAATAAATAAAAAGAGAAAAAAAATTAGAAATATGAAGAAATAAAAAGATTCTATAAATTACTATTATAATCACAATTCTTAATTGTGATCATTAAACAAGCATAATAATTACCATCTATTCTAATGTACCATTCTAATTTAAGGTTTCATTTAAATATATATATATAATTTTAATATTTACTTATCGTGCATAATTAAACTGATTCTTTAGATCCACACGGTGGAAGAACCGTGATAAAACTTTCAGTTTCGCTGTCGCTGGTGCTAAAATTTGATTTTTCTAAAACTCTATTCTCATTTTTGGCACAAAATGGTTGAATGTAAGAGTTTTTCGTTCCAATTTCCATCCCTGAATCATTATTTTTCAACAAATTAGACACGTTTGAAAGTTTGCGAAAATTTCCAAAGAAAACACTATCCGTTCCAACACTTTCTGCACCGCTCTCGCTCGCTCCATCACAGACGGATTCGGTTTCATCAGTTTCCGAGACGCTACTCACTTCGTGTTTTAGCAGTTGTTTGTGCGACCCATTACTATCCGTGCTACTTAAATATCCGCTATCTTCTATTTTCATTCGTGCTTGCGGTTGATATCCGAACAAATGATTCGTGGAATAATTGGTAACGGATTCGTTATTTCTGGAAGGTCTTGTCAGATGTTTTCTTTGGAAATCTTGTTTCTGACATTGATCGAGAAATTTCTTTTTATCCTTTTGAATGCGAGAATTATACCATGATGCAGATAAATTAGTCTTTGACTTTTCTCGCATGCAATTATTTCTCGTTTCATCTATCAATTGATGCTTGCATTTTGTCGTCGACTCCTCGGCTTGTTGTCGTTGAACCTTATCGGAATAAGAACAATCAATGGCCCCTACGTGGAAATAGTCACAGGGGACAGGAGAACCGTTGCTGGTCGTAGGGTCACCCGCTTCGGCAGGACTCCTGTCCCACCCGTTTTTTGACACAGAGTTCGATGATAATTTCGTATCTTTCACACGCCGTGGAGGTTTTGGATGCTGATAGATGTCCTCCGTGGGCGGTAATGGTACCACGTCCGGTTGGTTGCTCGGTTGTCGTTGTCTTTTCAACTGTCTTATTTCGGGTGTTAAATACTTACATTTCTTCCAAGATATGGAATCTTCTAAATGGCCGTTCAACGATTTAGTGCTATTATTCAATTCCTTGGAATTGGATTTCAATCTAGCCTCGTAGATTTCTCGAAGACTTCCGTAGCCACGATGCAAACAAGGGCCATTTTTCCCCGAGTCTTGATCACGAAAGCTACCCTTACTTTTGAGAAGAATTTGAGCAGGCCTTTCGAGAGAATCGACATAGATCTCATCGGGAACGTCTTTTTCATAACTCGTGCCATCGTTGATTTTCAACTTCATCGGTTTTCTGTCTAACGTGTCCGGTTCGTACTCAGACTCGTCCTGTTTTACATAATTTTTCGGCGAATCTTGAACTTTAATAGTCAAATGTCCAGGATTCTCGGCCTCGTATTGAATCTCTGGCCCAGAATCGTCGCTGCAGGCTGGACTATCGTAACCATCGTTCACATACACCTCGCTAACGAGGGAATAACTCTCCGATTTTTGAGAAGAGATTAACTCCGGTAGATTATTATAATACCCTTTTTCGAAAATATCTTTATTTAATTTATTCGATATCATCATCTCACCAGTTCTTGGATTGATCACAGCATTTTGCATCGTCAATTCTTCATCCATTGGCAGAGCTGTGGACAAAGCTGGGCTCGATTGATCGGTGGATTCTGGCGAATTGGACGATTTCCTGCTGGATTTCGACCGTTCCAAACTATCCACTTCGTAATCACCGATATTCTCCGATTTCGAGTGATGTTCAACCAACACCTTTGCGTCAACCATTTCACGGATAACGGCATCCATGATACGTTTCGCTGTATTTTTAGCATTTGGAAGCTCGTTGATCATGTCCGGCAATTCTTTTTTCGATCCCGTCGAATTTTCGCCCGATTCATTCGTTCCTTTCCGCAACGAACCCTCCCTCATACTTGTTCTTCCTTCCTCCTTCCCATTTTCATTGCTAGAAAGAACCGCCATGTTCCCCTCTTCTTTATTTTCTTCTTTCTCCGCCGTCCCTTTCTCCAGAATGGCGTTCTCTTCCATCTGTTTGATGAACGAATTTTCGATGGCTTTCCTCACCTTGGTGTTGATGACTTCATCACCGTTGCCCCCACTAATCGAAGTATCCTCGTTTCTTCTCAGCGAATAATAATTGGATTCCTCGAACATCGATTTGGTCGAACGTTTCGAAACGCTGTGTCGATCGTCCGTCTCGAGAATTTCGCTCCTTGCCACGTTTTGAAACGTTCTCATCATCATTTGTGAATTCTCCTTCCACGAAGAAACAATTTTTCCCGACAACAAATTCCCTTTCGCATCCGTGTCGAATTCTCGTTTGGCCAATTCCTTTAAATACTCTAAATTCTTGTTGAAGGTTTTCGTGTTCTCTTGAAGGGTCTTTCGAGCTTCTTCCGCGTCTCGCCAACGTTGAGGCGTCGACCTAACGTCCGCCAACCATGCTCGAACCTTACTCTCACCCGGATTTAACTGATCGGATTCTGGAAGAGTAGTGTCTCTGAACGTGTCCGTTGTGCAGCCGGGGCATCCGGTGCATCGTTGCGACTTCCGTGACTTGGTGATAGAACTTCGAGTCGAATTCGAGGCCGATTGTTGAAGCTGATTCTTGCTCGTCGTGTCGCATTGTTCCGTGTTCGTTTCCTCTTCCGGGATCCCTGAATTTGTCGACAGATCGAAAAACTTAAGATCTTTTATTAATTTCTCGATTTTTTTTTTTTTTTTTCTAGTCGATAAAGAAAGTAAATTACTGTTATCAACTGACCGACGAGGATAGGGACGAATTTCTTTGCAGCCATTTTGTGCTTCGCTATGGAGATGACCTCCCGAATTTTTATAAGAAATTCGATAGCTGCTGGAGGAGGTGCCTAGAAAAATTCCGGGCTGTCTTCAAATTAAATCTCATAATTAAAATGTAATTATAAAAATTATTTCTCTTTTCTATTCAATTATTCAATATATTTTACACGTTATCTTTATATAATATGGCCTCTTACGAGCAACAATTGTCTGTCGAAGTAAGCAGGATTGAAGTACAACTTTCTTCTCTGAGCTCCAGGTAATACGGGAACATCCTGTTGATGGGGATTATCCACGGTTTCCACGACTCGCACATCCTCTTCTGGCAATCTTTCCCCTAGAATGGATCCAGTTCCAAAGCAAGCTTCAGACTGTTCCATGTAAATGCAATGGGGATGAACGATAGCCGAAGTAACCTGTTCGATCCATACATATAAAATCAATCATAAATTCCCTTGGATGTTTTACAATATTCGTGCATAAGGTATATCCATGCGAGAAGAAATCTGATTAATTAATTAATTAAAAAAAAAAAAAAAATGAAAACAGGAATGGAAACAAGTTTTAAAAACAAGTTTTTTTTTTTTCACCAACATTTTCGAATCCCTGTTCACCGTCGCTAGGTGGAAGATCATCCCCCAGATCGCTCTCCGTTAAACCACTGTTAGTATCGCTCTCGAAGTGTCTCGAAGCGGCGAGCAAAGGGTTGCTCTTCACCAACCCACTCACTTCTCGGCCAGGGGCCAAGTTTATTTCCGGCTCCTCGACGATCTTTCTCTTCGCCTTTTTGCTGTGGAGATACAGGGACACGCTCGCGACGTAGATCAATGCAAGGATCACGGATGAGAGGCCGATGGCCGTGTACTCGGTCGCGGAGAGCCCTTGCGACAGTTGCGTTGTCGAGGAGAACATCACTTCTCGAACGTCTGCAACGAATCGAAGGTAATTATCCTCTTTAATATATTTTTATGTTGAGTTGAGCAAAATTCTAAGATCAGTGACGCCTATATAATTCAATTTGCTTATTCGAGAGGCGGATTAAAGCGATTTAAAAGAGAGGAAGAATACCGACTGCTTTTGGACTGTGAACCAGCCACCCTGAAAGCCACGCACGGGGTGAAGACACCGGGGAGCTTCGACTTCTGAGAGGCGTCTCTGCACACGAGTTTCGCTGTCACCACGCGACCCTCAGCCGCTTCTCTCAGCCCAGTTTCGCCGATCCACTGCAACGATTTCAAGATTATTCCGTTAATGATAGAAAGTATATAGAAAGTATATTGTTTTTGCGGACGATGATTTTTGAAATGAGAAGACGAATCGAAACGAAAAGATTTTTGAGATATTCGATCGAAGTGATAACAGTATCGTATCATCATATATTTCGTCGTCCGCGAAAGTTTTTCTTCGATAATGAAATTTAAAAAAAAAAAAATTTCGTTTAATTTTCTCAGCAATCGAACTCCTTCAAGCTTCCTTAATTAACCTTACGTCGGAGGCTTTACACGTAATGGAGAAGAAACCAGTAAACGGCTGTCTTTCATTCGCTCCGAGAATAAGTATTTTGAGTGACGTTCGAAAATACGACACATGCTTCCCGTTCATCTTTATTTCATTCGATCGTGAAAAGAAAAATTGATGTTACAAAAGAAGAAAAATGTGTGTGAATAAAATATTTCCTTTGTTTTATCGAGAAATTTTAAATAGAATGGAAGAAAGAATGGAAGAAAAATGGGGGCATTATAACCTCTTCGAATAGAAAAAATGATTCTGAATCGTAAGAACGCGTGTTCCTTCCTATATTATTACATCACTCTCTTGATTGACTTGTTTCGGTGCAGTTTAAACAAACCTGTAGAAACGTTCTTCCTTCGTCACGAAACAGCCTGAAGGGTGGCTCGGTGTCCGAAAGATTCCTCAACTCTGACCATCCTGCTCGCCCCAATTGCTGAGCCCCAGTTATTCCGCACACCGGCGTTGTCACACCTTTGCGCGAAAAGGGGAACACATTCAACTCGATTTGTATTTACAATTACAGAATTGTAATAATAACGTTCGTCAACGTTCGAATTACAATGTTAAATTAATAAATTAACTTACCTTCGAAGCGTATTTCTGCGTGAGGATAGATTATCTGGCCACGTTGAGGTAGAAACACGTATGGCACCCTCTCGACTTGGCCTGTGCCGCTCACGAAACCAGCAACGTTGCATTCTAGAATCATCGAGAACTTTACGTTTTTTCTTCTTATAATATCTATGATAGACAAATTTAACGAGCATCGTTAAATTTTGTTTGATTACAATTTCTCCCTTTATTTGTTCACGAATGAATGGATAAATAAGATTAATGTAAATTGGAATAAAACTTTGGAGGAATATTGGAAGGAATATAAATAAAGAATTTTTTAGAATTCGATCGAAGAGAGGAAAGAGTAAATTAAGATGTCATTCTGCCCGTGATGCAGCTTTAAGTTTCCTCGTGACTGACAATTTTCTGGCGTATGCACGAGATGGCGTGCAATTTTCAGACGTTTTTTTTTTTTTTTTATCGCCCGCGGTCATCTGTGGCACAATTATGCAGCTCATTTAAAAATTTCGGATGCCCTGCACGCAGGTGCAATGGAGAAAGCGCTTCCTTTGATCGGGAAACGTACAAAGGAGAGCATAAATGTCGGCATTCTGTTAAAAATATTGTTACTTGCCATGAACGTGACGGAGGAATCGTCTTTTTTTAAACAACACTTGCGTCCAAATTTGTAAAAATTTTCATTCGTGCGAAGAAC